GGCTGCGTTCGTCAATCTGGTCCCCTCTCGATCGTCATTCGAACGAACGCTCTCGCCGCCCTATGTAATATACCTCTCGGTACTGTCAACCTCTTTCATCACTGGGTCGGCAGGGTCGCCATCGCCTAAGCGTTGATTCACGCTTTCATGGTCCTGGCCCTACGACCGAGGCCTGGTGCGGTTGTCACGTCGGGATACATCGTAAGTGGTACTCTGGCTAGCTGAAAGGTGTAGTATAGAGTAAAGACTTAGAAGTTGCTAGGGACTCAGCACGCTGATGCTCATTCTCCCGTCATCTCTGAGTCTGGCACGTCGGTATCTTGGTCGCTACTTCTTCGTCACTCACCTAGTCCTAGCCGTCTCGGCATTGACCGGTCTGGTATGGCATGCTTACCTTCTGCCCACGCCCGTGAGCCGTGCGCTCATTACGGTGGCATCTTCTTGTTGGACTGTTGCGGCTTGCGTCCGTGCCGTCCGGTGGTATCGGCGGTTTACCGTCCGCGTGCTCCGACTAGAACTCGATGATAACGTCGCCCTCGTGACCGTGAACGCCGAAAGGCCTATCCAGGCCTCGGCCGACAATTATTTCAATATCTACTTTCCGGCCTCTTTCCCACGCTCTCTCGTGCCGGGCGTCCACGGCCACGCGATGAAGCCCTTGTGGTTCAAGCTAGGCGATCTGGCCTCGCTGGATGGGGTCCGCACCATGTCGTTCCTCATGGCGCGCGACGGCACACTCGCAAGCCGGCTCGAGAGACTAGTAGAAGGCGCTGTGCTGAAGCTTGATGGTCCTTACGGATAGACATTGGACTTTCGCTAGTACGAGGACGTCATGCTGGTGGCGAAAGGCGCAGGGATCTCAGGAGTGCTGCCTTATGCGCTGCAGCTCGCCGAGCGACGGAAGAGTGATAGCGAAGTAAAAAAAGGAATCCAGCGCCTGCAGCAGGAAGAGACGAAGCTCTTGGCAAGCGCGGTAGAGATGCGTCGAGAGACTCTCGAAAGTCGACTTGACGCTATTCGAAAGAAGCGGGCATCTCTATCGCGCGTGGCGCTCTTCCAAGACAAAGCGCAACGAGTCGACTTGTTGTGGATGCTGGAGAACGAGAAGCAGGAAAGATGGACAGCCGACCTCTTCTCCGCATTGCAGCGCCTTGACCCAGACAATGTAAGTCGGGATCCCCCTCTTCCAGTAGCTGATATGACGTAGAGATGCGATGGTAGTTTCGGTTGTCGTACTGACGTTGCATTGTTCCAGAGATTGCTTGTGGTGTGGTGTCTCTATCCTGGCCCCCGGACATCCAGGCTCCCGCCGTTCCCGCTTTCCGAACACTGGAGGTGTTTCTCTGCCGCGCCGGGCGGGGTTAACGTTATAGAGACGATGACGACCAGAATCTAACAGAAGAGTACACGGGTGCGAGGTGAAATGATTGTCATCAGTATGTGACCGTTCTTTCCCGCTATCCTGCCTGCTGAGTGCTGAGGAGACTAATCTTGGTGGCATGGTTAGATTGCGGGGACCCGGATTTCACCATGCGCATGCGGGCTGGCGTCATTTCGGCCATGGGCGGCAACAGGTTTATCGAGTTTGTCGAGTCCGAGTATCAGCCGCGGTCGCATCCTACGATAGATGCTATCGTCGCGAGGCAGGCCGCCGGAAGGGGCGCTAGCAAGAGGGTGCGCGGCGGCAGGAGAAACGCGGCCTCGAGGATAGTGGTGACGAGGAAACGACTGCATGAAGCTGCCTAGGATAGACCCTTATGAATCCTTGATCTTAATCACAAGGCGTACGGCAAGCGTCTTTGCGCGTCGTAAATTCAACGTATAATTGGATACTATTCATGCCATGTCTGTGGGAACGTACTGGTGGAGCATGAATGGCTCCCGCACAGCTTTCTCATGGGG